ATATGGTTGTTTTGATAAATGTTCATCATTAACATCAATTAATATAGATAATTTACAATTTATTAGTCAAGAAAGAATATTTATAAATGAACCAGTGTTAGTTAGTATTAAAATACCAGATAATCTACAAATAATCAATGGAAAGAATATTTTCAAGAAAGATATTAATGAATTTATTATTCCATCTTCAATTACTAAATTAGGAGATAGATGTTTTAGTAAATGTTCATCATTAAAATCAATTAATATACCATCTTCAATTACTAAATTAGGAAAATGTTGTTTTTATGAATGTTCAACATTAACATCAATTAATATACCATCATCAATTAATGAATTAGGAGATTGTTGTTTTTATGAATGTTTATCATTGACATCAATCAATATACCATCATCAATTAATGAATTAGGAGATGATTGTTTTAGATATTGTGAATCATTAAAATCAATTAATATACCATCATCAATTACTAAATTAGGATATTGTTGTTTTTATGGATGTACATCACTAACATCAATAACTATACCATCATCAATTATTGAAATAGGAGAGTGTTGTTTTTATGGATGTTATTTATTAAAATCAATTAATATACCTTCATCAATTACATCATTTGGAAATTGTTGTTTTTATGAATGTGGATGTGAAGAAGAATTAATGAAAAATAAAAGAATACCAAGAAAATGTTTTGAGTAGTGATGAATGAAATAGAAATACAATAAATGAAATACAATATAAATTGAAGTAGAAATAAATTATAATTGATTATCATTTATATTATTCTGTTATTCTTTTCTTATTTATTCTTTTTGATGAAAAAGATAATATAAATATAAAATGATAATAATTGAATAAATCTATTTGTTTATGAATGTTATTGTTGATACAATAATAAATAGAAATAAATAAACAAAGAGTTAAGAAATTAATGAATAAAATGAAAGTATAAATTTAGTTTATTAGAAATATAAATATTGAATCTAAAATAGTTTATCTTGTATGTCTTCAAAAAAGTATATTATCAAAATTGAATAATTAATTGATAAGTATTTTATTAAT